AGTCCACCCTGCTCACCAGACCCCATAGCCCTATTTTTGCCCATTTACAGCCTGCAGACCACCTACCTGCTCACCCCCTATTCACCCCCTACCCCGCGGGAACCAACCTGGAATGTTTTTGCCTGGAGAGAATCCGAACGCATACGAGTTGCGCCTCCAGGCATATTCAAGCACACAAGTTGTGCCTCCAGGTGATTCCGAGCACATGCGAGTTGTGTCTCCAGGCAATTAGCGTGTCGTACGAACATGCCTGGAGGCACAACTCGTATGTGTTGGATCCTGCCTGGAGGCACAACTCGTCTGTGTTCGAATTTGCCTGAAGGCATAACTCGTCTGCCTCCAGGCAGTGCCGGATGCCTCCAGGCGTCGCCGGACTCGCCGGACGCGCCGGGTACAGGTCACAGTATGACGCTCCTTCACCGAGGACCACACACACGTACCGCCTCATAATTTATAACACTCACTCACTTCGACACGTCGCTCATCACATAGTCACCATGAGCTCGTCTTCCAAAGAGGGCTCCACCACCACCAGCACGAACGCGAATGGGAGCAGTGACGTGAAGAACTCGAAGCCTCTTCCGCCTGGGATGGTGTTGGGTCCGGACGGGAAACCGTGCAAGATCTGTACGGCGTTTCGGTATTGGGAACCTTCGGGGAAGAAGAAAACGCAGAACGCGAGCGCATCCTCTTCTACCACTTCGAATGCCACCGCCGCCGCCGTAGCAGCAGCAACCACCACAGCAGCAGGAGATGCAGAACAATCCCGCCCCGCCCACTGTCCCCCCGACGTCGAACAACTCGGCCGCTCTACCTGGACCTTCCTGCACACCACAGCGGCCTACTACCCCACACGCCCCACGCCCCTCCAACGCGCCAACATGCTGAACCTCTTACATTCGCTGCCGACATTATATCCGTGCGGCCACTGCGGTGAACATCTGGGAAAGGAGATGAAGACGAATCCGCCGGATGTGAGTGGGAGGGAGGGATTGGGGAGGTGGCTTTGTGAGAGGCATGATGAGGTGAATGTGAGGTTGGGGAAGGAGAGGTTTGGGTGTGGGGAGGAGAGGTTGAGGGAGAGGTGGAGGGATGGGCCGGGGGATGGGAGTTGTGATTGAGGTGAGTAGGTTTGGTTTGTTTGTGGGAGGGTGTTGCTTAGTTGTTCGTTCGATGTTGGTGTTGGTGTTGGGACTGAAGAAGCTTAGGTGGGATGTGGCGTAGGGACTTGTACGAATTGCTAGCTCGAGAACAAAGACAAACCTCCTCTCAGCGATGCTTCATTGGATAGAGTCCCTGATTGGTTCGAAGTACATCCGCAGTTTATCCGTTGTGAGCGTTGTGAATAGTCTGTGGCGTTGAGTTACCGACTCGTCTGCTGGGTGTTATCCTTCGAATATCTGAGTACACCACCCAACTACTGAGATGGCCCAGTATTTCAGGCTGTATTGGGTGACTTTCCGTAGCAGTCTAGGAGTGTTTCTTGACGCACAGAAGCACAAATACGAGGCTCTCAGCCAATCAGAAATCGATCTGAGCCTCTTTTCTGTGTTCTAGGTCTCTAGAACGTGCACAAACCCCCTACGGAAAGTCACCCATTGGTACAGTTGCGTGTATTATATTTCTTGAAGTTGAACGGACGCTAGTGAGCATGTGGCGTACCGGCGGAACGGAAGGTGGCGAGGGAAAGTAACGAAAGCGAGTTCTTGGCATCACCACCCTTGGCATGGCCCACGACGAGCGGAGACAAAACCCCGCGGTCTCCTTCTACCAGCACCAGCGAGAACGCTGGTCGTTTATCCGTACTCGCTCGCTGGCACTCATCTCTCCCATTCTCTTCGCTTTCAGTTCTAGTAATTCCACATACACACCTAGGTACTAACCTCGGCTGACAGCACTCAGGTCATATCGCATCTAGCCGGCAGCTTCATCTAAGAGTTCAAGGGCCTGAGAACGAGTGCATACGAGATCTCCTTCAGTTGGTGCTGACACGCACGCACCATGGGTCTCCCCACCGTCGTCTTTCGACGACCTCAATTCCGTTTCATCGCTCTCGCTTCCGTTCTCATATTCTCCACCCTCTTCTACCTCTCCTTCCCCACCCTCACCTCCTCCTACCACGATTACTTCCCCGAAGGCTTCGGCCCACCCCCACCACCCCCTCATTCGCCATGGAACAGACCACCACGGCGTCCGTGGGGACATAAACATCCTGGCGGAGAGAGGTTCGATATTGGCGTCGCGCCACCGCCGGAGTTGAATACCAATGGCGGATTGTGGGAGGAGAGGGCGGATAAGGTCAGGCAGGCGTTTTTGCATGCTTATCGGGCGTATGAGAAGTGTGCGACGGGCTGGGATGAGCTGTTGCCAATTACTTGCAGGGGTGTCGATAAGTCCGTGGATTCTCCTCCTCCTCCTCCCTTTATGGTCTGAGAATGAGTGAGATTGGGTCCTGATTTCTGGATGTAGCTTCAATGGCTGGGGTTTGACTGTCGTAGAATCCCTCGATACGATGTGGCTCATGGGCCTCTACGACGAGTTCGACGCCGCCCTGCCCGTCGTCGCCCAGATGAACTTCACAATGGCGCCGGTACGCTCGCTTCCTCCATTCCTCCCAACCTACACTCCAACTCCAAATCCTCCTAATCTTCCTAATCTGATATACTCGTACATATTCAGAATAAATACGCCCCCTTCTTCGAAACAGTCATTCGTTACCTCGGCGGCCTTCTCTCCGCTTACGCTCTCTCAGGCGAAGCCATCTTCCTCTCAAGAGCGGACGACCTCGGCACGCTGATGTTGCCCGCGTTTGATACTCCTTCGGGGTTCCCGATGTACAGCGTGAACACCGTAACGTATGTCTCTCTCTCACAAAGACACACTCTTTCGATCTGCTATGAGTACTATGAGTACTGATTGCGATTGGGTTTTGGTTTGGGCTTGCATTGCAGCGGGGCGACGAGCTGGAGCTGGAACGCCGGTGCTGGTCTTTGGGCGGAGGCGTACTCTTGTCAATTGGAGTATAAGTATCTGGCGTATCTGACTGGTAGACAGGGATACTATGATCGCGTGAGTTCGCTCTGAAATGTGGCAGGATAGTCAACGATCTAACACACTCATTACTAGGCGGAGAATCTCATGCAGAGACTGTATCGCGCTAATACGACCGCTACGGACGGGCTTTATCCTACTATGTGGACGACGTTCACTGGAGAGCCACTCAATAGTACGCTTTCCATCTTCCATCCTATCCTATCTCGCTGCGTTTTCTTGCGAACTGACGAACTGAATATGAATCTTGGTGTCGATCGCAGCTCTGGTCTCTGTGGGCGCGTTTGCGGACAGTGGGTACGAGTACCTGTTGAAGCAATACCTCCTCACCGGCCGCATAGACACGCAAGTCCTCGACACTTGTACGTCCCATCTCCCTTCTCCTTCTACTCATCTCTCCGTACTCACCGACCCCGCTCTTCTTCTGACACCCAGACATCAAATCCGCAAACCTCATAATCTCCCACCTCATGTTCATCACCCCCACCCGCGGCCTCCTCTACGTAACCGACGCCCAAGGACCGCACCAACTCCCCTCCCACACAATGGAACACCTCTCCTGTTTCCTGCCCGGCCTCCTCGCCCTCGGCGTCCACACTCTCGGCTCCCTCCTCACCCCCGCCGAAAGCGAACTACATCTCTGGGCCGCGAAAGGACTAGGTCAGACGTGCTATATCATGTATGCGGATCAGGTCTCTGGATTGGCGCCGGACGAGATTTCGGTGATGGCGTGGGCGGGGCCGTATAAGACCGAGAAAGAAAAAGTGGAGAAGAAGATGGAGGGGTTGTGGTTGACTCATCTCGCGAAGTGGCAGGAAGAGGATGGGGGGGCTGGGAGGTTGAATGTGGGCGAGGGGGGCGATCCGCCTGGTGTGCGTCCTGTGCGACCTATCAGTCTCACGGGGAGCGATAAGGGAGAGAAGGAGAGGGAGTATAGAGTGAGGAAGGCGGGGTATTTGTTGAGGCCGGAGACGGTGGAGAGTTTGTATTTGCTTTGGAGGGTTACGGGGGATGAGGTGTGGAGAGAGAGGGGGTGGGAGGTGTTTGAGGCGATTGAGAGGAGTGCGAGGATGGAGGAGGGTGGGTATGCGAGTGTGGTGAATGTGGGGCAGGTGCCGACGCAGAAGAAGAATGAGATGCCGAGGTGTGTTGCTCTTTTTTTTTGTTCTATGTTTCTCACCTGCGTACTGAAGACCTTTGTCCGCTATATCTATATCGCAGCTTCTTCCTCGCTGAGACGTAAGTACCTTTCTCTTCCCTCTCATCTTACACTTACACACACACACACACACCTCGAGCCCAAACTAACTCGACTCGACCCACCCCACAGCGTGAAATACCTCTACCTGCTCTTCACCGACGAAGAACTGATCCCGCTTGATCAGTGGGTGTTCAATACCGAGGCACATCCTTTCCCTGTGTTTGAGTGGTCGGATTGGGAGAAGGCGCGTTATGGGATTCGTTCGGATTCGGCTTCGACTGGGACTGGGAATTGATCATATCATGGCCCCTCCCTACCCGCTGACTACCTACTACCCATACTCACGTTTCTATCACCCGCCCCCATACACACGCATATCAACCATACCACTCATACCATTCATCCCTCATCCCTCTCACATCCTCGTCTACCGCATTGATGCATCTTCATCCAAAGCGAGACGAGACGAGACTGACGAACGGACGGTTTTACTCATTAGGTCCTTGGGATGCCAGGTCCGTTCGGATCGTGATTCGTGATTCGGACCGGACCCTTTTCGTTCGAGGCTTGCTACTTGTCTTTCGTCTCACTGCCTAAGTTACTTTACGATGCTCGTATTGTCACGGTGTAGAGTCGTGTTACAGTTCGTCGTCATGCGATCATTGCTCTGCTTGCTACTGTTACATACATATCGGACCGTTCGTGTTGCTTTTGTTTGCGTGTATTCTTTGCTTTTGAATAGATAATACATGGATTCGGAATCGGAATCACCTGTGCGTTTGTCACGGCGAGTTCGAGGAGGAAGGGGCCAACCCCTATCCGAGCCGTGCGAAAAGCATTCTATTACTGGTCGGCGGACGACTCCGCCCACGGCCACTTCTTTCACTTGAACTCTTTCGCAGAGGAATTCACTGTCGACCTCGATGACCGTTTTCAGGCCTCAGGCTTATCACTTTCAAGGTGCCTCAGGATCATGGTTCACTGATTACTATCGCCTACCGAGCGGGCCCTAACCCTTCACAGGCTGGTCTCGTTTCAGCAGTACTAGTATATATCACTTCATGATCTATTGTCGACCATCAATTTCTCCGTCGTACATCCTAACTTCTGCAGACGTTTCAAATATTTTCGGTGTCTGGGCGCTTCGTGCACTGCCTCTGCGGGACGATACGGTTGTGCGTTGACGAGGACGATGTTCTCTTTACACCTCGCACTTGGTCCTCGTATTGCACGTCTGGGTTTTGAGTCGCTTTGATGGGCTTCGCAGGCTTCGTCCTATCCGTCCTACCCACCATCCCAGACCCAGCTCTCCGTCAACCCCTGACCTTCTCTGCGATCGCGCCTTTATTCGCCTGCTACTATGTCCAGGCCATCCTCGTGCAGTTCCCGGGCCCGCGAACGTTCCTGTTGCGGCTGTCTTTGCTTCCCGTTATTGTCTGGTCGGGATGGTATGCGGCTACGCGGTATGATTTCGCGTGGAGGCTCGCTTTGCTGGCGGGGCAGGAACGCGGGAGGTTTGAGGCGGGGAATTATGGATATGTGGTGAGTTCTCGAGTTCTTTGTTGAGCTGGCACTGGAAGAAGGAGGGATTTCAACTTTCCACGGCTCATGTGTGTGTGTGTTTCGTTAGTTTTGGATCATTTTTATCGTTCTGCGGGCGGTGGAGTGGACGTTCGCGTCGAGACCTTACCGTCGGCTCAGGCCAGATGATAGTCCCGACTCAGCCTCCAAGCTCATGAGCAAGGATGAGGCTGCGCTACCTTTTCGCCGCACACTCCAAGACGCGGGCGAGCTTCTCTTCAATCAACGAGGTCTCGGCTGGTCATGGTCGCTCAATCCCTTCCCTCCTCAAGTCGCTCCTCGCCCCCTCAAACGCATCCTCCTCTCTCTACTCCTCAAATCCTTCATCGCGGACCTAGCAACATACTCCATCCAATGCCTCCGCCCCACCGTCCTCCGCAGCGGAGGAGACACCATCTTCGACCCCTCCCTCCCTCCTCCCATCCAATACGCCACCGCGATCTACATCAGCATCATGGCCGCCATCCGTCTCTACTGCAGCGTCGACCTCATCTACCTCTTCGCCACCCTCCCCGCATGTCTCCTCTTCGGCCAATCCACGACACAATGGCCACCGCCCTCGGACCGTCCGTGGTTATCCACCAGTATAGCGGACTTTTGGGGAAATAGGTGGCATCAGTTTTATAGTCGTACCCTGCGCGCGGTGGGGTCTAAGCCTCTTTATATGGTGTGGGGCAGACCGGGCGCGGTGATGGGTGCGTTTGCGCTTTCGGCGGTGGTGCATGATTGGGCGCTTTATGGGCTCGGAAGGGGAACCGATTTCGGGACGGTGGGGCTGTTTTTTGTGATGATGGGTGTGGGGATATTGTTGGAGGGGTTGTGGGAGGAGGGACTAGGGATGGGGAGGGTGAGAGGGTGGAGGGGGTGGGTTTGGGCTATGGGGTGGATTGTGGGGTGGGGGACGGTGTTGATTGAGGGGTGGGCGAGGAAGGGGTGGATGGCGGATGATATAGAGGAGGAGATGAGGGTGAGTAAGTGGGTGGTGGATGGCTTGGTGCGTGTGGTCATGTCGCTTGGGCATGTTGTGCCAAGGTCGTGAATTCATGCTTACGACAACAATAATCTGAGCGCGAGTATGCCATTTTCGAACGGGAATTAGAGACAATTACTTCCCGGGCCCTCAAGGCAGTCAACCCTCAGCACTCAGCTTCGAGAGCAGGGATTCAGAGGAGTCGGAGAAGTAGTAAGTCACTGGTCGGTATCTCGCAAAATATTCGTCGGCGAGCCCGATGTCGAGCATCGACTTTGTCACTTTGGTGCGCTCTACAGTACCGGCGCTAATTCTTGACGGGCGTCTATGGGAAAGAAGCGGCTTTCTTTCGTCCGACGTTCCTCCATCCGATATTGCTTTCCATCCCTAAAACCACCAGCCTACCTCGACATTCGACATTCAGCTTTGGCAATTGAAGTCACTCTTTCTCTCATATGTACACAAAAGACCAAATCTAAGTGGAGTCCACAAAGGCTCGCCACTCTGTCTGCCGCCATCATGCTCTGAGAATCTCTAGGTCTCTCCGTCGCTTGGAGGCGAGAGAAGCAGAAGAAGCTGGAAAAACCTATTTCACTTTTGTCTCTCGTCGATCGCGTACTTTGTTTCAACCACCTCACCCACGAGCTTAGCCAGGCTACCCTCCCATCACTTGAACTCCCTACATACAGTCCTACTTCAATGCGCTGGGCCACCGATGATATTGACCTCGGTGTCTGCCTGACTTGTCCGGGTAAGTCCTGTCCGTCACGATCATTTCAGGACGCGTTCCTGGACGGCCTTTGATTGCATTCATCTTGCTCTAGAAATCGCCCATGCCGTTGACCACCTCTCCGGGGGTCATTTCAGCCGACGGCTGTGAAACGCGTCGGTGCTTATACTTAGCTGCTTCCACTCGACGTTTTGAAGCACGACTCTTCTCCTCCTTGCATGGGTCTCCTCTCGACAGTCCTTAGACGATCTCACTTTCGTTTTCTCGGTCTTCTTTTTGTTCTCATTTCATGCTCTCTCCTCTTCCTCTCTTGGACCTCGAGCGAACGCCTAGATTTTGATTCTTCGTTCGGCGACCACGACGATCTGCCACGACATCGTTTCGCTTGGACAAAGCCCCCATCGCGCCCATGGAAACATAACCACGCTGATGGAGAGAAATGGGATATCGCGGACACACCACCGGCGCAGCTGAACACGACTGAAGGCGTGTGGGAGGATAGGGCGGATAAAGTCAGACAGGCGTTCTTACACGCGTACCGGTCGTACGACGAATGTGCGAGAGGTGCGGACGAGTTGTTGCCTCTCACCTGTACGGGGACCAAAAAGTGAGTTATTTATCCTTATAATGTCAATTTTTAAGTGAGTAAGGGAACTATTGCTTGATGGCGATAGTTTCAATGGATGGGGTGTGACTCTTGTTGAGGCTCTCGATACGATGTGGGTTATGGGCCTCTACGACGAGTTCGGAGATGCCTTGTCTGACGTTGCGCAGATGGACTTCGGAATGGCAGAGGTATGGCTGTAAGACCTTTGGGTTCTGGATGTCAACGCTGATATGACTCTCATATACCTCGTGCAGAACGAGCGCGCACCTTTCTTCGAAACCGTGATTCGTTACCTTGGCGGCCTTCTCTCCGCCTACGCTCTCTCAGGCGAAGCCATCTTCGTCGTCCGAGCCGACCGTCTTGGCGCGGCGCTCTTGCCCGCGTTCGACACTCCGTCTGGGTTCCCCACGTACAGCGTGAACACCGAAACGTACGCCAAGCTTTCTCCCATCATAACTCCATTGTGGTACTCATTGTCATCCATTCGGTTGTAGCGGTGCAACTGGCTCAAGTTGGGTTCCCGGTGCTGCGTTTTGGGCGGAGGTCTTCTCTTGTCAATTGGAGTATAAATATTTGGCATATCTAACTGGAAAGAAAGAATACTATGAGCGTGTGAGTCCCCGCGCTCTCGACGAATGAGCTCAGTAAAACACTCATTTTCGCCTTTCGCTAGGCCGAGAATCTCATGCAGAGATTGTATACCGCCAATACGGATGGCACTGGTGGGCTCTATCCCACCAAGTGGAAAACCTCCAGTGGGGAACCGATGAACGGTGGGTCCATGTATTTTGTCGTTCTACTGGGTTTCCTGTTGATTCTTTGGGTGTCTTTCTGGTGACAGATCAGGTCTCCGTGGGAGCCTTGGCCGACAGCGGGTATGAGTACCTCTTGAAACAGTATCTTCTCTCTGGACGCACAGATATACAAGCTCGTGATGCCTGTACGTTTCGCTCTCTCCTCCTCTCTACTTTCCTGAGATAGCCTACGCCCTACCCCCACATCCAAATCGCTTTTTCTTCCAGACATAAGATCCGCAAACCTCATCATCTCCAACCTCCTGTTCGTGACCCCCGACCGCGGCCTTCTCTACGTTACCGATGCCAGTGGAATCAAACAAATTCCCTCGCACACAATGGAACACCTCTCCTGTTTCCTCCCTGGACTCTTCGCCCTCGGCGTCCACACTCTGGGGGATTTGCTCACCCCAGCGGAGAGGGAACTCCATATGTGGGCTGCTCGTGGATTAGGTCAAACATGCTATATCATGTACGCGGACCAGCCTTCGGGTCTAGCGCCGGAAGAAATCACGATGATGCCGTGGATGGGGCCATACAATGCACACAGGACGGCCGAGGATGTGAAGATCGAGGGGTTATGGATGACTCATCTGAAGAAATGGCAAGCAGAAGGGGAGGGGGAAGATCGGGAGAATGTCGGTCAGGGTGGTGATCCACCGGGAGTTCGAGAGGTCAACCCGATCAAGGAGGCAGTGGGCAATATCAATATCATGAAGTCAAGGGAGTACAGGATAAAGAGGACTCCGTATCTGTTGAGGCCGGAGACGGTGGAGAGCTTTCATTTGCTTTGGACGGTTACCGGGGATAGTGTGTGGAGAGAGAGGGGATGGGAGGTGTTTGAGGCTATTGAGAGGAACACGAAGGTGGAGAAGGGGTATGCCAGTGTGGATGACGTGACACGGCTGCCGACGAAGAAAATGAACATGATGCCGAGGTGCGGTTTTCGTCGTCGTTCTTTCTGTAGCTGTATTGACTGGCGTTAAATCTTAGTTTCTTCTTGGCCGAGACGTGAGGAAATTTCACATTACGTTTACTCCTCCGATATTCGACTGAACTAATACGTTTCATTTCCACAGCCTTAAATATCTCTACCTCCTCTTCACCGATGAAGAGATCATCCCGCTTGACCAATGGGTCTTTAATACAGAAGCACACCCTCTCCCTGTCTTTGAGTGGTCTAATTGGGAGAAGAAGCACTATGGGATCCCCTAAACACAATACCCACTTAGCCTCACTTCATCTCGCACGTTCCAGTCAAATTGAACATAACATCACACCATGCCCATCATTTAACTTTCACCCGCTGCATATATTTATTCTCAGTCACTTCATGCTACCTGTGCTTTCGATTGTTTCCGTAACTTATAAATTGCATTTGCCAAGCGTCCGATCGCTGAGCAGTATTAGTTTCAGATACAAGACCTACCGGAGCTACGCCCTGTTTGTCAATAAATATATCGGACAGTCGGCCTACAGAAGCGAGATGATCAGTGTGAAACTCAGACTGGTCTCACCAAAAGAGGGCAATCTTTACGGCCAAAATGGTTAACCGCCGTCGTCGCTTGAAAGCACTAACCTTTAATTGCAGGATAAACGTCGATGCCTTCAAAGTGCGTTAGCGCACTGGCCAGAATGGCAATACCTGACTATTTTATTTCGAACCTCAAGAAAGCACCTCAAAAAGAAATGAAAACGGCAAACACAACCAAACGAAATGGAGACATCTGCGTTCAAAGAAGAGGGTTGATCCAGGCTTGGTAGCGGTGCGCTCGATTGACACGAATCAACCTACATCACTATGTTCAGAAACCTTGGAAGCTGGTTCTATCAAATTTTCACCATTCTCTGGATGTGGGCCACTACGCGCAAGTCTCGGGCTAAGTCTCGGGTGGCGGGAGTACGTTCGGAGACTCCGACACACTCCGCCACCTCCGAGTTGCGGCAGAGCAGACGGCGCTCCCGGATGCTAAGCGCTGACGGTCGCCTCCCTTCCCTCACGCTGGTAACTTCTACTTCTTTCCCGACCTCGTCCTCCCTATTTGTCAACACCAATTATAGTCGGCGACTGTGGTCCTGTTTCTGACGACACGGCGTGCACGCAGACTACAACATGATGTGCACACTGGTGAAGCGGGGTGAAACCTTCGGCGCTCTGAGACATTCCCCGCTCCGTCTTTTTTTTTCTTCACCTGCCGCAAAATTTGTGAAGTCCTCCGAACCGACTGTTAGGAGCTTTGCTTTCTGTTTGTATAAAATATGGGCAAACTCTGAGATACAGGAATACCATCACTTGAAGTCCTACCACCATCTCTCCAACATCAAACAACCAGCCTTCTCAGCTCTTAACTCGTCCAAACTTCCAGTCGTGCCCCTTATCCCTCTTCGCTAATAGCTCTTCACCCGTACATTCGACGCCCATCATGCAATCCAACAGCCAGCTTACTTGTGATTGCCGCAACTACGCGAAGTACAAGAAGTTCTACGACGAAGCTCTTGCCTATGAAAGCTCGTTGTATTGGGATTTTGCAAAATGTCTCCTGGTTTGCTCGGTACGTTGCACAACTATCACCACCTTGTCATATTTCACAGCTCATAATGTCTCTCATGAGTAGGCCATCGGCATCGTGGTTTTCTTCCTGTTCACCTTCGTCCGCATACGCACGATCCATGATACTACACCCATCGAAGACATCAGCTCTTCGTCCCTGAATATGATGCACCGCCAAAGTTCGACAAAGAAAGTCTCTGGATCATCTTCGTCCATCTCCTCCCAGAGAGATTCTATCTCCTCATACTCATCCTCCGATTACCCCTCCTCGGCCTCCGACTCGTTGTTGGACTCGCGTCGCTCGTCAGACTCCTCCTCCAGCGAAACCCAGTCCCCCCGCCGCCCATCCATTGTCCCGAACCGTCGCTCATTTGCGAAGATGATGGGGACGATCAAAGATTTACCTCAGAAGGTCCAAGATGAGGTACAGATGCCTTCATTCGGGAGGAGACAATCGGGAAATAAAATGAAGAGGAGCCAGTCTACTAGCCAAGTCATCTTGCGTGAGTTTGTTTTCCTTCGTTGGTATTCGTGTGTTTGATGATGGTGACTTATTGTGCACTTTCGTAGCTTCCGAAACTTTGGACACTCCTGTACTCTCGTCTTCTACCAAGGACGGCCCTCACGTCTTCACATCTCCCTTTGCAGACAGTGACGGCCTCAATCGTTCTACCCGTGTCTCAGAACCTATCTCCCCCACCACTCCATCGCCTGCTCCTGCCCGTAGCTCCGAACGCTCTTCAGTCCCCGCAGTTCTCGAATCTGTACAGGGACGTCCAGCAGCACCTCCCACAGCCCGCCGCCCCAGCCTCCACTTCGCCAAGTCCCTGCACGATATCTCTATGTCTATGGGTCCTCGCTCCCCTTCGATCAGGTTTCCACTTCCGAGGAGGGCGTCAGGGAGGTCCTACTTGGGTATCCATGTTGAAGAGCAAGAAGGAGAGATCGAGGGGCAGATCACCAGAGAACAATAATAAAGAGTAACGCTCCATATTGATCGCCTTGACGGACGATGTCGCAGGAAATGTGGCAAAAATTCCACTAAAGGCTTCATTTGCACGGACCTCATCACGGACTAAACATGGACTCTAGATCGAGCCCTTTATACAGTAGCATACCATCTCCATGTAGCTCATCATTTCGGTGTAACAGACTCCAGTTTGAAGTCGCTCTTATCATACAGTTGTAGAACAACCTTGCACAATTACATACTTACGTTCAACATGCTCTGCGTACACAAGATGCTACGACGACGAGTGAGTTATACGAGCGGACCTAACGTACACCAAAGTGAGGTCAATATGACCATGGGGGCCACGAATAATTACATTACTTGTACACTACAAATTTCTACGATGCTGGACAATGCGACAACAGTTTCAGACGTGATATTCTCACAACGTAACACCCGCCGAGGGAAGGCGATCCATCCAAAGACGACCGATGGGCTTGGATATCCCGCTCGGTTGGACGAACGGCTCTACATGAATCCAGATCTCCTTCCCCACATCCTCCACCGACCTACCCGCATCAATCTCCACCCACTGTGGCCGATTCTCACTCTCTCGGTTCGACCCCACCGCCATGGTTTCTTCTCGCATCCTTCGATACACCTCCCGTACCCTCGTCTGCATCTCTTCCTGTTCATACCTCTCTTCACCATATCCCCCTCTCTCCTTCGCCTTATTCGGGGATATGTCGAGGTAGAGAATGAGATCTGGTGCAGGAAGGGAGATGTCTGGCGTCCGACACCATTCGAAGGGTATTTGGGAAGGTTTTGAGGCGGTGAAGGCGATTCCGGAAAATGCGTAACGATCACAGACGATATGAGTACCGGAATTGAGTGTCTGCTCCACAGTGGCCCTAGAAATTGTTTCAACAATCAATACTATGAAGACAGAAACTCTAAACATACGCGAGCTCCCAGCGGTTGGCGGAGAACAGCAGATGGATGACATGGTCGTCCAAGTCAGACTTGGACCGAAGGTAGGAGTCTATCATTTGGCCTATTGGTGTGACGCGGTCTTTCAAGTACACAAGCGTCAACAGAAGTTCTTGAGGAATACGGAGATCGTACGCACCTGGGAACTTATGGAACTTGACAGGTATGTTGCGAGATTGAAGACGCTCAAGGAGTGTAGCAGCTTGAGTGCTTTTTCCTGACCGATCAAGACCTTCAATCACGATGAAAGCTCCTCGAGACGGTTTGGTAGCCATAGATCAACTAAGGTCTGAATATATCAATGAGAACTGGTGGGTATATCGTCGGAAAGTATCGTTGCGGAAGAAAATGTAGAAAGATCAGACGCGACGCGTCGTAGCGCGTCGGTGGCGTCAAGTTGAAATTTGATCTCCGCCATACAACACACTCGTGGTTCATGAATTTGTCTTCCCACCAACTTGCTCACGATCTCCCACATCTGAGATTTCAGACTCCTGCTCTTCACTGCTCCCACGAAACGACAAGATCGCACGCCGCTCGAAAATAACCTTTTCTCTACCAGTAAAGTAACGAGTCTTCTGGGTCATCAGCATCAAGTTAGCACTAGTAGCAGCTAACGTAGACTTCCTGTTTCCCTGCCGCTCTAAATGCTAGGTTTCCATTGCGTTCATTATTGAGTCTTGACCAGCCCCACCCGGCTGTGTGAGCTGTCTTGACCAGGTGATATTGTTTTCTCCGTTAGTAGCGAATTCCTCTAAGCGCCACCCACCACCCACCTATCTGACTGGTGGCATTATGGTACGCTGAGTCTCCATTCGGAGGCGGGCTGCAAGTAGCAGCATGAAAAAATACTGACCACACAGGCGAACGCTGGACTCTTTCGGTCGGTCAAATGGGGTTTTTCCTTGCGTAATTACCCCATGGCGCCGCGTAACGGAATTCACGAGGTGACTGCTATGCATTCATCCGGCCGACTCTCCTGTAGCGCTATATGGTATAGAACGTCCAAGGGGAGGACACCGAGGTGGACGAAGTCTGAAAAGGCTTGGCGTAGCTTTTGACAGCCTGTTTGACAGTTTGTGTTGGGCGGTGAGTGAATTTCCGCCAGGCCATGTACGCACCCCTGTCATTGCTATTTCTTTCTCGTGGGTGTGGCCCTTAGTGAAAGTGGTCGAGACTCGTCGCTCCATTCACGGGCGCAAAGAATCGGTTTCTTCGCACCGTGAGAGGCTTCATCGATATGGTTAGGGGATTTTGTTGAGACTTTTATGCGGTGCGCCACTTATAATCATCTTAACTGTCGTTATGCCTGATAGTTTTGACCTTAAGAGTCCTCATCGGTGCCCCAAGGCGTTTTCTACTAGCTGATGTGATGCCAGTTGAAGATGGAGTCTAGTAGGCATATATTCCTGTGGGAAGCAGAGCCTCGGCATGAGCTGGCTCAGCTTTCATTTGGTGGCCTTGATGTTCACTTCCGGTTCCAGAATAAGCCAGAGATATTGCCACTGACAGCAGTGCGTATCTCAGCAGCGTTGTTCTCTCAGTTCAAAAGACTACGGGGCTCACGGGAGGTTTGACTTTGAGCGGCATTATGGTATCGACCGTTGTGGAATTTGCACTACATCCTCACGTTGATGGTGGCGCTTGCATCGCGTAACCGGTTTCCTGATATACCACTTGCGGTGGAACTGTGTGTTCAACTTGGATCGTCTTGGATTTCTTACCAGTGGCCATGGACCAGGGCCCTTTGATAGTAGCCCAGACTTTCGGTAAGCAATTGCAATCTTACGGCTGGTAGACAAGTCCTATTCATCTGCTGATCATGGATTATGTGGCCGTCGGTATCAATAGGTTTGTCCATTAGTGCGAGCGTTGCATCCCAGTTACCATACTGAAACACGGAGCACATCGTTCAAACTTGGTCGAGGTAATGTCAATTTGCACGAAGGATTAACACAGCTGGGATCATGAACGAATATCTCCGGACGTGCAGGATTACTACCATGAACCTCACTCTTCTTCAATGGTCACAGTGTTATCGCTCTCATATTCGGGCTCGTTCTTATCGAGTTTTTTTTTAAAAAAATTCGCCCAGCAGTGTAGCTCATCAGCCACACGTCTGTAGGAGTATTGTCCTGTTCCCTGGACTCAGCAACCTTCAAGATCACTCGGCGGCTTTCATCCGCTGAGACTTTCTTATGCGGGGTCCGGTTCCTCTTCTTTGATACATGTGTCGCATACTTTCCACCTGTGTGGTCTGCCGTGCTGCATCATGATTGTGTCTGACCTGCTGGGTTCTTTCACCTGCTGCACCTCAGCTGACGACCGAATGTCGTGGGTGGCACCGCCGGTGGGTACGTCTCCTCTGCAGCGGTACGCTATGAGTGCAGGTGGGTTCATCGGCCATGCTAGTGCGTTTTTGTGGACGTCACTCAAGTCTCTGTACCTGACAGTCTTGAAGCACGCTCGCGCGACGAACGTCGGCTCCCCTCGGTTCCGCTTGACTTCGGCACCGTCTGTGAGAGCCGTTGCGCGCCCTCAAGGTTCCGTAGCCCATCCTACCCCGGCCTTTCGCTATTAATACCTATCTCCCACTTGTGCTTGCCAACCTTGCGCACATCTTTAGACGATTTGAAACTAGCAGGATGGTTCACCGCTTCGGGAATGCTCCCTCAAGTTCACCTAGGGGACTCAGAGCTCCGAGCTCCATCTCAGGTCATAGTGTTGTTCTCCCTTTCCTCCAACTCGTGCAACTCAGCTCAAGCACTCTGCAGAACTTCGTTTTTCCTTTGTGATACTGAGGCTTGACAGGTCGATGGAAATGTTACTGTGCAGCTCTCCCGAGAAGGATTCGCTCGGCAGAATCGATCCGCATTGTTGTTTCTCTTTCTCGGTCAATCTATCCTTTCATGAGCGCGAAAATAGCCACGACGCAGCGCAGAACAACGATCGTTCCTTTGGTCATGGGGCATTTATGCTCTCACGTGACCGTAACACTAGCGCTGAAATTCGTTTCCTCCTGTGTTTTTGTTCAGGCAAAAGCGGGACACCATGTCGTGTTCGTTCTCATTGTGAGTTATGGTCTCTTCATCTGGGTAAATTCACCGCATGTCAGGTGAGGAGTATGAGTTCCATACCTCTAACGGAGCCCAAACGCCCCGGTTATTACGCCAGGTCCATTTGGTGTGAGCGAGATAGCAAGGCACAGGTTCCCTTCGTTCATGAATCGCATTAGGTATTTCTGTGGGCTTCCATCAACCTCCAATCGCTCCCGGAACGATACAATTCGGTACCGATGGCCATTTACGACAAGTAGCCCGTCGTCAGGACATCGATTCCGTTTTTCTGTTCGGTCTCGTTTCTCCTACATTTATCAGATGGTATGTCTCCACCCACTCGTCTGCAGTTATACCTAGACTGACGGCGAACTGTGACATGCATACAGACGCCTGCACTATTCTACTCGTCGTGACTTTGGGTAAACTTCTACACCATTATTTTTGGCGTTGATGATGCGGTGTTTCTCCGCGTTCCCAGGGATTTATGGCAAGTTTTTTATTCATGCTCTTAACGCTCGGGTCTGAGGTCTCGGCCGACCATGTCGCGGCACCTAAACTCCCCATATTCTCTCTCATGTCAATGGTTCCGTTGCCGTTGCATCTGGTCCGTCGTGCGAAGGCGTCCAACCACGTTTCAAAGGACTATATTTGCAGTCATGCTCACTTGGAGGCCCAGGGACTGTTCATAACTTATGTATAGGATCTGAATGCGAGAACGGCATGTCTCTCAAGATGTCTTGCCGAGATATTTTTCTTCGGCGTGTCTGTGAATAGAAGATTTGTTGTCTTGCTTCGGATCGATGGTCCTTTTATCCTTTCGGACAAGGGCAAGCAGCTGTGATGCTTCTCGTTGACTCACACCGCATGCCCTCGATAATCTAAATCCCAGATTGACTTTATGAATACGTTTTCGTGACCATATCGCTGAAAGCGCCGTCCAGTGACATCGCTATATCGCCGTTTGTACGCCCGAGGATTTTGCAGGCGATAAATATAACGCCCTACCTAGTGGGCCCAAGAAGTACTGTCCGATGGTTCTCTCTCACCCGCTTAGCCCTCTCATCTTCACTGCAGATTGCGACGAACCTTTCATGTACGAACAGAACTGAAGCTCTTGATTGCGTAGACGCAGCCAACGAGTGAGTCTCGGAAATCGATCTCACTGATCTCTCAGACTGCTCTTCCCTCGCAGGCCAAGCCACGACGGTGGATTTTTCTCGGTGCTCTCACGCAGCATGGTGGTACCTGTGGGTAGGGCAGCTCTCATGCGAGTCTTGGGTCCGTTTTGCTTACTCTTTTTTTGCTACCACAGACACGGCGTTGGCGTCCACAAACGCTATGAGCTCCATATCGGTGCGAGTATCCGCTCTTACTGTGGTTTCAAGAGGTTGACGGCGCCTAGATGCTCCTGGGCTTTGGTTGGAAGGGAGAAGAGCTTGGGACAGACCGTGTAGACGATAGTGACGTTTATGGGCAAAGCGGTGAGTTGTGCTCCCTGCAGTCGATATAGCTACTAATGTCTGCTTTTACACAGACATCTTGGGCGTCAAGCCCAAGTCGGCTCTAGCTCCTGTGGTACCGATCGGGCGGTCCTCCGATATGTCTCAAGTATGACCTCCCCAAAAGGTGAGAAGTTTAGGTATGGACTTCGAACCCGAGCAGAACATAACATGTCCTAAGAGGGACATTGACGCCCCCATCGATTACGTCGTGGTCTCCCAGTTACATAGCCGCGGACTCGTGTTTTAACAAAGGGGTCGAAAAAGGGTCAGTGTCCTACATGGACATATGTTCTCTTCAAGGGCTCTCCGAGACACATCTCTCAAAGCCAATTATAGTAGGTGTTGTAGGCGGGACTGAATGGTCTGTGTTGTAGTGTCCCATATATCTCTGCTCGTGTCGATTCTTACCAGAGGGCGGGACAAATTATAGCACCCAGTCGACACCGCTGTAAAAGCGCTGGCTTTGTTTGAATGGCGGGTCGGACGAAAGTCAATGGACGAGAATCGCCTTTTCTCATCCCGCCCCCTCAACGATCTCCCTTTCTCACACCTTTGGCGGGGGCATCCAACGACCGTGATGGTCGGAATCAAACCCCTTGATCGTCGTGGGTATCGCGGGGAATATCAGGTCTGTACTACTCCGAGCTCTTGTTCCGCTCTCATGTTCTCTACGGATTGTCCTGTCCTCTCTCATTCTCATCCATTGGCGCCACATCGCCTGTGCTTTCTCTTCCACTTATGGCTAATATGGGAATCTGGATAAGTCGCCGGTCACGGTCATACTATGACGGGAGATTATGTGCGCTTATAGCACAAAGGCAGTCGAACTCATGGCGTATTCCCTTCCTTGTGGATGGGTGCTTCGAGGTAATTATGGGCCACTCTTCATTACCCCCCGACCTCGTCACCAGCAAGGATCATCTTCGGAGCACTTGCGCCGGTTATCCATAAAAATACTCTTGTCGCACCCACGACCGATTCTCACCGTCCTTCGTGACCTAAAGTTTTTCTGCGCTCATCATTAAGCAGGCGATCTCGCTGGGTACGCCAGCGAGATGTTTAGGGGTAGGCGGTCCGTTGACTACCAGCGTGATTGGTTGACGTTACCCATTTACTCTATGTTTTGTCCGGGCACTGTCTATCCGAAATACATGCCACAAAACATCGAATATTTGGCGGTCTCGTGGTGTTTGGGGAAAATATCACACGTTCTCTGAGATCGTATGTATCGCCATACGGTCCTCACAGCTGTCGTATGCCTACAAACTCTTCTAATTGAATAGATATTTGCCACAGCCCACTTCAATGGACAGCATGTCTTGCAGGACTGTGGGGGACAAACTATAACATCTAGATGTGGCGTTAGGAGCTTCCACGCTCGGCTTCGCGAAGTATCGCCTTTCTCCTTTCGCACTTCGAGGTTCACTGCAGAAGGCTACACTAACCGTCGATGTCATTCACGGTCGTTCTTAATCGATTTCATCTCGTCTTAGAGTTGATGCTCTCGCTTTTCTTTGCTGTTGGATGCGGAGGCTTTCCATTATGCTCGGAGATGAAAGAACCGAAGGATGAAAGACAAGTCTTTTGGAAGGCTGTAAAGTGTTCTCGATGGGTGGGCTATCCTGCACAGATCACAGTAAGAATATCTCGAGCAATGACATACGGTCACCGCATGTCAGAGTCTATGTTCGCTTCTCCCTCTTCCAGACGTCCCGTATGAGTCTCAGCCTCAGACATGGCACGGCGTAGTGTTGAAGCTCAGGACCTCGTGTTTGTGGCACTTCGACCACTTGCAGTGGACATACTTGTGCCACCTGACTCGATATTTTTATTTCTGATCCTGATGAAGCTGTCAGCTTCCAGGCCCTCTGACCTGCATCTTCCCTGCAACGACCCGTTCATATCCCGATTTGCACCATCGCCTGGAACGTTCATGCGTATGGAAGCCACGGGGGCGGTGCAGTATCGGGAGGAATCCTAATCTTTCCTGTGTAGATGATGGCCCGCGCGGACCGACGCCCCACAATAGCAATGCAACTTGACCGTGAGGATTCCAACGTCCCAGAAGTAGAGGGCGTCCCGCTGAGTGCAGTCCAAAATACAGTGTTATATGTGGACGTAATACATATGCTATATTCACAGCGCTTGGAACGGTGGTCGTGGCAGATCTGGGAACCAGAGGTAAATGGGGCAAGCTATTAAGTCCGTTGACTGTAAATTGGGAGCTTGAGGTAAAGTCAGGCCGGGGTCTGTAGCGATAGACATCCCCGACGAGGATTTGGACCCACGACGACTGAATGGAACCACACGAACAGATCTCCCCGGACAAACGGGAAAATCATGCACGGGCATTTGCTCCCAGACAGCCAATATAGGGTTGTAGAGGTTGTCGAGGTCGTGATTATGGAAACCCTTGTGCGTCCACGCAGGTGCAGTAGTCGAACAGATGGCTAAATATTATTCGGCCCTAGCATGCTGCTACGTGTCGAAGTGTGTATCGAGGTCGGTGTGCGACGTTGCTATGCATGACGAGATGGTTTAATGGTCGGATACTTCACCATATAGTGACGAGGCCAACTGGCACTCCGAACTATCGTAAATCATGCGGGGTGATGATGACTCACGACAAGAGCAACGTGGTTTTGTCTCTCTCATACGGAGGCTGCAACGCCTACATTTAGCAGCTCTTTCGTAGCGTTGTGGGGTACACTGCTGCCAGTGACTCGTGGTAGACTTTTCTAAAATATGTTCCATTCTTACAGGACTGGCGAATGGTGCGGCTAAGGTAGCAGTGAACGAGTGTCACCAGGAGCCAACCAGTACGCTGTTTAATTCTTGCATTTACAGATATGACTTACTCGGGTTGATCGAGCGGCAATGCTCCTATGTCAGGGTATCAGGCATTGCCCAGCCACAGTAAAAACAAACATTAATGCATCAATAATACGACGGGGTGCCCATACCACGCATTCTCTTCCCCTTCTAACTTTTCACGATCTACATAGCATCAACGCGTGTGCGACATTAATACTGTCATATCGTCCTCGACCAAATATCGTGGGTGACTGCTTGTGTACCGCCCACTGACAATATCGCCCGACAAAATCCGAACGGTACTCATCCCCGTTGGGAAATAAAGTACAACGCATCATCGTCTCGTGAAAGGACACACGATACCTATCCGATGAGATCCCCATAAAAGAGAATAAAACACACTCACGGAATGTTCTTCCTAACCAGGCCACTGTATCCCAGGGACAATGGTCCCCTCTCTCAGAACGACCGTCAACACCCATAAGCGCATGAACATTACCACGAATGGAGTGAAAGTTTTTCATGTTCATATTGGGTCATTCGGTCGTTGTGAAGCTACTAGGGTGTCTTTTCTTTCATTGGCCTGTGCCACAAAGCAAGCTTGATCCGGCGGGGATTCTCACCAGTGGGCACACATTCCATTCTTCTGAATCATGGCCTCCGCCTCGAGAGATTCACGAGGTTTAGGCTTCGCGGACAGGCTTGCATATGACCACGGTCATTGACATCCATACGCAATCTAATAAATCGTGATGCGCCTCGGGTGTGTCTGCGACAAGGAAGAAGAAAGGGAAGAACTTCCGCATTGCAATCGAGGATCAGCTCTCAGGCTTTCATTCGCCGGACGTAAGTAAATGAAGAAGAAAAAAGGAGCAGAGCGCACGACGCACGACGCCTCTCCTCTCTTCTCTGTTTTTTTTCCCATGCACGACATCGATTCGGAGGACATCGCCGCTTCTGCCATTATTGATTCTTGAACGGATCTACGACCCCATTCCCGAATCAGACAGACCGCCGGAACCTTCTCATAAACACTTCTAGACAATTAAAGACGGAAAGACGGGAGGGGGTGTGTGCTCCACTTGAAGCCTTCGAACTTCAAGGCAAGATGACAAGACAAGAGACGTCTGTTCCCCACCTCCTCCGTCTTTGTTCCCATGAAAGGACTTCGAAAGGGCCTCGTTGCGTTCAAAACAAGCGTTTATGCTATAGCTATGAACGGATCCTCCGCGAAACCGAATCGCCAACAGTGACAGCCTATCTTTAATACTGATACTGAGCCAGAGGGCGTTCCGTTCAAGTTCGCACTTCCCATGCGTGCGTTGCGTGCGTGCAAGCGTCTGTCTCTGGGAGACACCGCTGCAAGCAATGGAGGATTGATGTACGTCAAAGGGCAATTCTAGTGTAGGGAATCTGTGGAGTGCGTTGCCAGGATTAGGACGCGAGCTAGTATGGTATGGTTTGGCTGTGAGCGCATTCCTGACGCAACTGCGAGTCTACTCGCAAAAAAATCACACAGGCCGAGCGGGAATGCTTCTCGAGTGTGCGTCACACGGCGTCATTCTAGTCTCTGCTCTGAGCTTGAGGGTGTGTCTCTCAATGAAGTCCTCGGAAGAGAGGGCGGATTCGAAGAAAAAAAGTCCTGTACATGCCCATGTCGCAGCGAGACTCTGAACGCCCGCAACGAGCTGTAAGTAAAATGCGACAAATACCGGACACACATAGCGCGGTATGTATGTACCTCGTGTGCCTTGGACCTCGCAGAGCCTCGCAGTCGAACACCACGCAGCCAGCCTCCCATCGTCCCTCTGTCGTAAACCTGCAAAGAAAAAAGACGCGCCCCGCGTCCATGTTCGCGATCACAGCCGTCACTGAGAAGACGGCGTGGGGGGCAGAGAAGGAAGATCGAAATCGGGGAGGCCGTAACAACAAAGGGAACGTACAACAAAAAGAGGGGCAGGAAATATATTACTTACCTGCCCGTCGCTAATTGACACGTATGCACTTACATTTCGCACCCCCTCCCCCTCTCGCGAGCCCTCGTCGTCGTGCGCTGTGTTGAGATAAACATACGGAGTACGGGCAGGGTAGGGATTGAATGTACCTGGAATTCCACGGTAAACACGAGTTCTGTCGGGGGCCCTCTACCTCCACGTTGGCATTGGGTGATGGCAATGCGAGTGGACGCGTCCGAATCAGCGCGGAGGATCGGACGAGTTACGAGTTACGCGTTCGCATTACGAGACATGCTCATAATTTCTGATTACAATAAAAATTTCCTGTGCGACGCGTTCGTCCGTTTTGGATTGAACAGCAAGCAGTGTCACGGTAAAGGTACTCACACACCGGCCGCATATCATGCGCCATCTGAATCCCTCGCCCTCCTGGACTCACTACATACACAAAGGAACGCGCGCATGGAGGGGAGGGAGGGAGGGAGGGAGGGTTCGAAACAGGGATCAATTATGATGGCGTCATGAGGAGGATACTCTGGGAAAATCGGGGCAGGACCATCGTTCATCCTCCTCGCTCGCGGGTACATACCGCTGATTTGATAGCACCTTGTAAGGTCTGATTGAAAAAAGACATACGCGAACGGCCGTGTACTGTAGTACACACTGCTGCCAGTACAGTAGACGCCCGGTGGGAAATGTAAACAAAGAAGATGTCGAGAACGCCATGCGATGCGATGCCAAAGGGGATTCTTCGAGAGAGGAGAGGGACTTGGAGGAGGGTCGCGTAGTCCATGGCCATACATAAGCGGTGGGAAGACTCGGACTCGCTTGATCTGGCGAAAGACGTCGAAAGAGGAAAGCTAAATGTCAAAACAGCGCAATGCGATGCGCTGCAGCGAGCTCGAGCATGGATGGCTGAAAGCAGTGGATCAGAGCCCCCCACGCGGCGCCGAACATCATGGATGCAGATCCGGAGGCTTTTCGGAGGCCCGTTCGAGTTTTCAATGTGTTGCATTCGTCACCAGCCACCAGTCACTGCGGATGTGGCCCACTCAACTCATTGCTAGCGCTTTTGGGTTCTTTGACTGATTGGCTCACGCGTCGTACGTATACGTACCGGGTTTGCAGGAAGGAAGGAAGGAAGGGCGAAATGGAGGAAAGGAGGTGACGTCCCTCCTCGAGGCTGCCGCCACAAAGGTATCGGAACTCGGATATTACTATACAGTATGGCCCTCAGCCTTCAAGTGGGGTCACGGACTCGGAGCTCACCTACTCAGGCCGTTATTTCCCACTTTGGACTCGGATGCATCAGATGGGGATGGGGAGGGATCTTGGAAAAACAGTGAGCTACTGCATCATGGCGGTACTTCGGTGTTCTACTGTATCATACAGTTGTTGGGTGGGTGAGAACGAAAAGACTATTGGACATATTACGCTCCAGCATTGAGGCAGAGGTTGCCGAACATATGTCCTCCACACGTATCATGATGGACGGAATAACTCACTAGGGCCACACATCTGTGGGCTATAACAGGTACAACGACCACCTGGGGGTGAAGTATAATTTATAAACATACCACCACACATGCATGTGCAAGCTCGATGGACTTGGCGGACACCACGGTACATCATGCCAACACTCAGTACTCAGCCCAAGCGCGCCGCTTGCAATTGGCCATGAATTGGATGAGAGCTTAGGAGCGCGCTGAGGTATAATGTCAGCGATTCCAGCTTGGAGTTTGAGACGACATCGCCGCACTTACTTACACACACCCAGGCGCCTCTGGTCGAGCTCGGTAGTCAAGTCCCACGTACGGGTGAAACAGACGCGAGTGCTCACATCATACCCACACCTCCAGCGCCAGGGTAAGAGCAATTAAAAGCGTCAAATCACACAAGGCCGGGACTGCGAGAGACTTGGGAGACAAATATATTTGTACAGCGTACACGGGCAAGGGGCCATTATATATGGTAAAGTAGTTCCACGTCGACGATTCGTATGTGCGTATCATGGAGATGGGGGCCAAGAATATGATGGTGTGTAAAGAGTGAAGGGAAATGGATATGATAAAGTTAAATTGATGGTCGTCAGTCAGCCTGTCGGTGGCATGGTCCAATGCAGAAGGATTGCGGAAGGGCATGGCGCGCGAGACTGCTAACGATACAGATGTTACGAAAACAGGAGACAATGCAAAACGCCCACGGGGGAAAGTAGTGTGTAGGGAGGAACGTGGGCGACAATAGCGGAGGAAAAGTATAGGTTATCAACAGCGCGAATAATGTAATTGAGTGAGACAAAGGACGCAATTGTGGGTCGTAGCTGCAGATCATGATGTGTAGGTGGGAAACATGCAGAGATATGTTGATGCTGAGGCGAGCCGAGGGAGAACGAGGCCGGGTGTGGCCCATCACTCGAAACCATATTCGACAGCGATGCGACATGCGTCGTTGGCGCTGGAGCTCGAGCGGCCATGCAGTCGTAGGCCCTGAGGCGACGCAAAGTGGGCGTCGCATGCTGGACAGGAGTGCGTCCCGAGTGAACGAGAGGAAGTCACTGAGCGGGCGAGTTTTCGAGGAGAAGAGGGGATCTGAAGGAGTCATGAGTATCAGCAAATGATAACGAAACAAAGGAAGACAAAGATACGTACGGTGTCAGGATAGGACTCGTCATGCGAGTCATCGTCGGAATCATCTGCCACCTTTCGTTTGCGAGATGGACAAAGGGGTGATTCTGCTGTGCACGAGAATAGCGGGTGAGAGAAAGCGGAGGCCAAAGGGGATGAGTTGTACGTACTGGAGAGAAGCGAAGGATCGTCAGGATGGAGTGCGTCTCGCCATGCGTGAATACGCTTCATGCGGACACGGTAAGTGTCGTCGATGGTGGGATCGCGCGAGGCGGGTGGCGAGGGAGGGAGAGGGGCTGAGCCGGCGTCCTGTTCCGAGGAGCAGTAGGACGAGATGGACTCGCTCTCGTCCTCGTCTGGTGAGGACGACATCGGGGCTGACGACGACGACGACGAGGATGATGATTCTGAAGACGAGGATGCGACATAGGATGATATGCGGGATGGCTGGTAGGGTTCGCGTGGGGGTGGTGCACACTCTACGAGCTGGATGACCTGGTGTGAGTAGGGCTGGCGGATGTAGAGGGCGTTGAGGTTGTCCTTGTCGTCGAAGGGTTGTTGTGTGGCAAAGCAGCAGTAGTCCATGGTGGCACTGGATGGAGGAGGGACTGGCGGGGGACGGTTCGGGACTTCATCGTCGGGAGCAACTCGCTTTTGAGCTTTCAGCGAGCACCGGTCGGCCGGAAAAGGATAGCGTGTGGGCAATTTCAGATCTCCAGATTCGCGCCCTTCTGCTAGAGACCCCAGCCACCCCGTCCGGGGTCTCTCCCCGGACTTTCCGCGCTCGCCTCATCCATTTTCGTTCTTTCCCATGGTATCCCCTCTCCGGTTAGCATCTTCCCCCGCGTCCGATCTTCGCATCCACACTCGCTCAGGCAAGCCATCGTCACCCCATGCACGGAGCCCAGCAAAAATATTCAGAAGGCGCCAGCCAAGCGCCTGCCACAAGTCCTACCAGCTACATACCCTCCCACTCAGCCACAAATCCCCGACTGTCCTTCCCCCACTCTCGGCGTACTAACATGCTCCAACTCTCGCTCTCACACTTTCTCCCCTTCCCACCCATCGCATCCATCTCATCTCCGTCTCGCCCAAGCCAGAACAGGAGCCAGAACCCGTCCCATATTTCCCCCCCAAGCTCTCCCCTTTCAAGGCCTCATGGGCCGCAGCCATGCCTCTGCAGCCTCGAACTGGTCAATCAACTCCGCTTGCACCATCCTCTCTGCGTGCATCTGCCGTATTCCCGCCAACGCCTGTTCCTCCCACGACCAAAACGCGTGCCAGTCAGCGTTCGCCCTCGTTAATCCTATCCAGGCAAGCACTCACCGCGTCCCAAAACCTGAACCCGCGCTCCACCTCCGATTTGGGGCTCTTGACCCCAGGGAACGTCTCCTCACAGATCTCGAGCGCCATGTCCTTGGCCTCCCTCACGCCCTCTGCGTTCGGGTCACGCACCCGCTGCTGGTTGTTCAGATGCGTGAGCGCATCCAGGTACACCTTCGCCAACACCCCGAAACCGGTGTTGACCTCGGTTTGGAATGGTAGAGAAAGCGTGATGTCCAGCAGGTCTTCGCGCGCGCGCCGCGCGTCGGACCGTAGCAACATGTTTAGCGTAGTAACCTCGAGCAGCGTTCGCAGTGCCCGCGTGAGAGACCGTACAAACGAGTTGAAGACGAGTAACTCCCGTGACAATGGAGCGGACCACGGCATAGGCTGCGATCAAAAGCAGAAGGCGCCCTTTCAATTCCTTATCCCCATTACCGCACCGATGCCATCGCTACGAGATGAAACGCACCTTGTAGTTCAACGGAACGATACTGAGCGTTCGCATAACAAGCAGCATGCACGACTTTTCGTCATCTTCCCACAGAGATCCACCGCATCAGCACATCCATCAACGAGCAAGTATGTAAAAGAAAATGTGACGATGAGGCGGGGTGTGGGCAAGAGCACCGCCGCAACACATCATCTCCAAACGCACCTGTACCGAAACTCGGGCCTCCACTGAATGCCCTACCCGACCACAAATGACCGTGCATCACTCCCGCTCGGACGAGCTCCAAGAACAAATAGAGAGGGTCCTGGAATTTATCGTTCAGCCGTGCCCTGCTGATTGCGCCATGCATCGCACGGGCCAGGGTCTGATGCTCATGAGTTTTGTTCAGGAAGCTGTGTGGTGGTGGCGGCCCATTCCAAAAAGACCAAAGAAAAAAGCGCGAAACGACATCAATCAGACAAATGTTGAACGCCACAAAACATAACCGAGGTTAAAATACTGACCCTCGAAGCTCAAGGAATCTCCAGATGACATTCGCGACAACCTCGTCTTTCTTGTCGAGCTGCGGGCTATTAGTGCCGCTCTTCGCCCTGGTTCGCGCAGCTTGTTTTTCTGTCGCGGTCGCGCCAAGACAGAGTGCAAAGTCAATCGTGGAGGACTGTCAAACATTAGGCCCGAAAAGGAATAAGCAACTCTATCAGCTATCTCTCCAGGCACTCGTTCGCGACACCCGGCGCCAAAATCTGATGAGATCGAACATCGCGAGTTTAGCACGACACGCAAAGGAGTTAGAACGCACATTCTGCCTCCTCAGTTCCTCTTCAACAATCGCATAAGGCACGCGCCAGCCTGCCACTCTTTCGGCCAGTTGTGTTGTCGGTGGCGAGGTGTGTAGCACGGTACGAGAGTTGTGAGGGACGTTCGGCTCGAACCAGAAGAAGCCCATAACTTTGCGATTCGCCCAGAAATGGTTCGCGACGTTGCTGATCAACGCGAGAGTGGTCGCCCGGGGCCCGGTCTGACCCTCGGTAATGACCTCCTTCACAAACCTCTTGTACTCGTTCGTCTCGCCGTTATCCAAAGGTGGGTTCTCCACGATTTGAGCACTCGTGAGCCAGACGAGGGGTTGTGGCCCAAGAAGACCTCGTGAGAGATAATAGTAGACCTCGTCTGGCAGTCTGTGGGTGAAGATTTCGTGGAGGTCTGAAGGAATGTCACCAGCGGTGGGGTGATGGTGGTTCGAGTGAGGTCCATGAGGTGCTGCAGATGGGATGACGAGGGGGAGGGGTTGGACGGTGCCCTCGGCGGAAAGAATGAGTGAGTACTTGATCATCGACCTCGTCCGTGCGTACATGTCCGGGTACTGGATCGTCTTGACGGCGGGGTGGTCAGCGAAGGCGGACACAGCTGCATGGCCAGACTTGTAGTATTTGACCATGTCCACGGTCTGCTTGAGCGCCTGTTCGTGCAACGTAGGCGGGAAGGGTTGAGAATGGTCAGAGCCAACAAGGATACCGATGTCGAGGAAGTGATCTTCGCTGACTCCAAGGTCGGAGAGGATGGATTTTTTGGAGGTGAAAGTGAACGAAGGCGAGGAAGAAGCAAGGTCGACAGCAGTGATGAGTTTGTCGACGCCAGGGTAGAGCAAAGTGTCGGTGGGACCATAAATGGCGTGGATGTATGATTTCGGGTGGCGTTGCAAGTAGATGAGCTTTTACGGATCGCAAGCACATGAACAAACGAGCGATTCTTGACGAGAAAAATAGCATACCTGGGCCCAGGCAACATACGGAGCGACCATGAATTCCACATTCCTATTCCTGAATATCCTCAGCACCGCCCGCCACAAATCAGAATGCACCAGTCCGCTCCGAGTCTCGAATAGTTTCGTCGCCGCTTCCTCCTCACCAGCCTCGTATCGACTCCAAGCATTGTTTCTGTCGCGACAAGCATCCACGTACTCCGCCCCGTGGTTTTGATGCCGCCAGCGCTTGTTGGGAACGAGGCCGGGGAAGACGAAGACGGGCTTGATGCGCAATTTCTCAAGTGCGCGTAAGTCAGACTCGATACGTTGCATCAGGGCAAGAGGAAGACCGCCGGTAGCGGCGAGAAGCGGTTCTCGAGACTGAGGGCTATCATAGAGGCTCTGAAGGTAGTACGCTGCGTCGATACCGAGTCGAGAGTCGGAAAGGACGCTCAGAGGCAGCGTCTGGAGGTGTTTCCGCTCCGAAAGATAGTCTGCAAATTTCTTAGTCAATTTTGGGCATAATCAAAATCTCGACAAGCCTACTGTCGAAGTGCTTGATGGGCATGGTGAGCGTGGAGCACGATGAGCTGTGTACGGTTGCCCTGGTGTATCAGGTCTAATTTCAGGATTCGCTCTTCGGCTTGCGCCCTCGACCTTCGCAGGAACGTTGACAGGTTCTCGGGGTCCCAGATTACGTAATCGACGCGTGCCCTTTCGCGTGCCACTCGGGTCACACAAATGCTCTGCCGAGTTCCAGCTCCACTGTTTTTGGGGCTACACTCCCTCAGTAAAATAGTAGAAATGCCGCAAAAATTTATGAAGGCTTGTACAATGATGTAGATAATTTGAGGGCTTGGTGCACAATTGTCCAACCTAATATAGGTTCATAAAACAGCCAAACACTGGTCTGTACTGCTGTACCACACTCAGAGCTCCTGCTGCTCATCTCTTTACAAACCAGAATGTGTGTTAGATATTGAGGGGAGCCATTCTGAGCCTCTTGAGTACAATG